GTGCTTAGAGTCCACAGTTTGGCAGCTAAACACTTATAGTCACCACAAATGTTGTGTCCAAAAGAGTTTGACCTAAATACTGCTTTGTTGGACATTTTCTTTTCTTTCATTTGCGTTCAGATACGAACCACAAAATATGTCAGATACTTCTTGTAGTGGCTGATATTTTTACTAACTAATAAATAATTGATTAAAAAGAAAATAGAGTAGAGATTTTAAAAATATCTCCATAAGGAGTCAGCTACAGTAAAACACATGACGAGTGTGCTAAACCTAGAAAGTAGTGAATATGACCAGAAACAGATGGTTCAAAGTGCAGGTTGTGACTTGAAATAGTTTTAAAATATAAGTAATCATCTAATTAAAATTGAGTAACAATGTTGGATTTGAGATTGAAATAGCGATAGACAAAGAGTTCTTAAAATAACAGATAAATTGAAGCAGTTTGCTGAAGGCTGAATTATAGAAATAAAAAAGGGAGTGAAACATCCTGTAATATGAAGGCTGAAAAAACACTGAGAATCCATTAATTTAGAAAACAGATTATTATAATTATTAAAATCAACCAAATGAAATAGATCTAAAACCTGACCACTGCTTTTTTTTTTGTACTATTCACTTCTTTTAAAGAAACTAAACTGTTGTCTCATCTCAGTTTTTTGTGGAATTGCTTCACGGCATTAGGGTTTAATAAAAGTTTGGATAATTTACAGGAAACATCCAACCCTGAATCAGCTGTCACGGCGCTGTGCTGATTAGCGAATCAGATTTATTTGTGTTGGAAGCACATTCATTTAATGTGACACATCTGAACAAAGCCCACAAATGTTGACCAGGTAGAGAAAAACACTGTGGGCTGATAAATCTCAGAGACACTGAAGAGCGTCCAGCTGTGATGTATTATTTTCAGTATTTGGATGCTTCATATACAAAAATGTGTTTTTATATATAGTTTTCCTGTTTTCCTTCCATGACACAGACAACGTTTACCTCACATTTCCTGTGTCAGAGTTCAGACATATTCTTCCAAACCAAGATGTGTAAACGATGGAAATCAAGACGAGGAGCTGAGACGTCTGAGTGTCCCAGAAAATATGTAAATTTTCTGGGACATGAATTCTCTCTCTCTCTCTCTTTGAAGATTACTAAATGCCCCTACATGTTATTTATGGAATGAGTTACTTAGGTAATCCAGAGAGGAGAGATGAGTTAATACGATGAAGACGGCAATAAGTGATCAATGCGAGGCCTTTAGGAAAATCAATGGTGTTTGGAAAAGGTTTTCAAGTAGCAGAGGTACATTTTTCTCTTCTTTTCTTCTTTTTTTCAACGTATCAAAGAAATAAAAAGTCTTTGTGACTCACTGAAGGTTTCACCTGAATCCAAAAGTTCAGACAGAGAGAGTTGCACAATTTAACCGAATGAAAGATGAGCAATAAGCACCTTGAAAATAATTCAGCTTTGCAAAGAATCAACAGCAGACAAAAGACGCCGCTCTTCAATCATCACGTTCCTAAACTTGTCACAGAAAACGTAATGAAAAACATTTCTTCCATCTTTGCACCACTTGATTGTAACAATGTGGCTCTGAGGCGTTTCACCTAAAATATTCAGGTCGTCATTTTATTCTAATGTTCTTCACAGACAGATGGAGTCACACATTGGAGCAGGAACGTCCTCCCAGAGTTGTGCTTTTCACTTATTAACAGATCGATCAAATATTTATTAGACAAGCACTCTTCTCACAAGAGGGAAACACACTCGTGCATTTTCCGTCGTGCAGCAGTTTGAATCCGACCATAAATGATTCTGTCTGCTTCACTAACTCTTCGCTGAAGTCTTAAAGTATTCAGGTTCCCCTGCGTTTGCAGCAAAGAAAGTCCTGTGAAGACAATTACGCATTCAAAGCAGCGCCGCCTGCTCCAGAGGTGCATCATCGGCTAATGTGCCCCGAATTATTTCATATTCACAGTGGTAGGATTAAAAAAGTCCTAGTGTGGAAACCCAATTAGGATGCCAAGAAGGGGCATGTAATAAGATCGTGTCTGTAATGGAGTGACAGGGCTGGTAACAAGCACATGTTGAGTCCTCACTCTGAACAGACTCTGAGCAGAGTCATCCTGGTCCACAGGAACCTGCTTATACGATGGTTTAATAGTTGTGATAGAAGGATTTATATGATTCACTGACAGGATTCTTTTGGAGTCATGTTCTGAGTACTTCCTTCGAACAAAAGATATAGATGTAGATATAGAACTAGCTTCTTATAGCTCTGTTTATCTCAAACATTTAAAAAAAAAACATGGATCTTGATGAACAGATTTCAAATAAAGAATGTTATTGTTTTTTTAATCGAGTCAACAAAACTGATTCTTACAATCCTCAGTCTGGAATTTTAGCCAAAAGAGCTGTTGTCATGGAAAAGAGAAAGGAAAGAGAGGTAATTGAGATTCTGCAGAGGAGAGCTAGAATCTATTTACCTGGGCTGCCCAGAGCGAGCCTGTGAGAGCAACATGGCTGACCCCCCCAGAGAACGATGCCCCCTCTGGTCTGCCACGGTGATCAAAAGGAAATTTTGAAATCCGGTTTGGCCATTTTCTGTTTAATAAAATATCGTCTGGTGGTGGAAGATCTTCTCTTAGACATTTTAAGCCATGCACTTAAAGGATTTGTGGAACCAGTCGTACAACTCTGGTATTTATGTGTCTGTTTTAAAACTCTGATGTTGCTCATGCTTGTATTTAGAGAAAGAGAAAGTGTCCATTGTGCAGCGAGGGAGGAAAACTGCTAGTTTGATGGTCTCTTCATCTGTGACAGATTTATTCATCGCTGTCCGTATCTGTAAATGACTGCTTTGAGTCAACAGGTCAAAATTCAGCAGCGCTAAATCTCCACAACCTAGATGGTCTCTCATTCCACAAGCTGGTCCAGTCCTCACAGAGCTAATGGCTCCGTGCTTTAGATGAGCAACTCTTTCTATTCTCATTGACTATGGATGAGCATCTGGTTAATGTAGATGTGTGATCTGATCGCTCAGCTTCTTCCTGTGAGCATCTCGCTGTGTTTCCCTCTGCCCACAGATAAACACGCAGATATACAGAGTCACGCTCCGCACCCACATCTGCCTCCATATGGCAGCATGCGAATGCAACTTTATACATGACGATGGCTCTTGTGATCGTGAACATTAACATAAACATAAGCAACTGGAAAATAATTCGACAATATCACTGTGGGTGCTGGAGTATCTGATCAGCATGTTATAATATACATAGACGGTGAGATCATGGGATACAGCAGCGTGTGAACTACGCACATTTACTTGAGTACTTGAGGTGCTAGTACTTATATTCACTTTTTGCCCTTTGTATGTGATTTGACAGAAGCTATAGTTTGATTTGTGATTCTTCAAGTACATTTTCCTGAAAATGTTATTTAGTTCTAAGTAAAAGAACCAACACAGCACTAAAAAACTTTCTAGAAGCAAAAGAATTCAAGATTTAATTTAAGTTGGCTCCAGAAGTAGCATAATAATGAATATGTATGTTTTAGTTCTAAGCACTTTATGGTTTGTTGGGATCTCATTGATCTCATCCAGGTTTTACAGGCTCATTCAGTCGTGACATCACAGAAGCTCCGGCTCACAAAAAATCTAATGACCTTCATTTGACCAAGGAAGCGCCATTGAAGTGAAAATTAGACTCATCCATTTTCAAAGGACCATTTAATGACATGATCGGAACAAACAAACCTGGTTTTCCTTTGCAGTTGAATCCATCATTACACAGGATTATATCTGCATGCGATGTGATTTATTCTTCTCTCCTTCATTTGTGAGTTAATTTTATCTAAAGACAGAGATCATTATGTACTGTCAACTCGTAATGTTATCAGATTTCTGTTTTCTTCTGTTCCTCAGGTTCATTCTCACGAGCGTAATATCAAGAAGAACACTCTTCTTTAATACTTTTCCATCTCAATCCATCTCTTCAGGACAATTAAAATGATTAGCCTCAAGAAGAAAGTTTGACTTCAAGTGTGCAGAGGAAAGAGGAAATAAGTAAATAAATTAATACATTTATGTTTTTTACTGTTTTTACTCTAAACTCTTGCACTCTTAAAATGTGCTTCACTATTCATACTCACATTTAAGGGTTTAATTATTGATGAATGTTGGTTTAACCATCGCAGGAGGCGACGCGGGAATCCTGATGCAGAACGTTGGCTGCGATACCTCAGGGTGTTAAAATGTTTAACGCAGGCAGCAGTTGCACAATTAACAGAAAATGTGGTGCAGAATGTAAAAAATTCAGTACCCAGAGACACATTTGTGTTTTCAGAGAATTTAATATCAGTTGCACTTATGAAGTTTCTCTCTACTTTTTATGTGTCCCCTGATGTCAGCATCCCTGCATTCCCAAGTATCTGTTTTACTTTTTAATAACTCAGTTCATGATGACAGAAAGTCGACAGTCCAAAGGTTGAAAATAGTTAAAATTGTACAGTAATAAACAAACAACTCAAATGTGCATTCAAACAAACAAATATACAGTACAAGTGATAAATAAATATGGTGCGTCAACCTGAATTGTGAGTCAGAGATAATTTCTTTTTACCTTTTCCAGGTTGATTGATTGGCACATACTGAACGCAGCTTACAGTGATAACGGCAGCAAGTTCATCAAAATTCTCAGTAATTTAAGAAACAGTGGTTTCTTGACTTCAGACGGAGGTAGACAACAGTGTTTCTAATTTATAGCCGGTAACCATCGATTTCATACGTTAGTAATAGTAGGCCTACTGTAATTAGGCTAACTTTAGCTTCACGAGTTCATTGAAAATTCTGTATAACTTAGTTTTTAACTATGTAAAAGGGTTTTAAATATATGATTGTGTAAAAAGAATATATTTGTTGTAGTGTGGAGTTGGTTAAGACAAAATTAGAGATCATACTGTATTGTTGTTCTCTTTTAAGCTCATTTAGTTGCTTTTCTTACGTACTATGTTGTTTTTTTTGTGTGTGAGAAAAAAGTATTCGGCAAACTTAACACCATTTGTCTAACGATCTCCCCCTTCAGCGCTTGTGGTTTTGATTGAACAAAAGGTTAAAAGAAAGACACTGCAATAGAAACTGTTTAAATACTAAATTACTCCAGCTACGGCCCTATGTGCTCTGCTTTAGGAGAACTCCAAAGCTTTCCAGGCCTTATGGTTGAGCTATAAGTGGACAATCCCTGTTATTTACGACTGCACCTTTAGAGCTTGATTGTTTAACAGTTGTTTGAGATGATAAGAAAATCTTCAATGCAAACCCTGGGAACAGAAATGAAAGAAACAAGCACACAAGCAGAAGTGTTAAAAGTCAGTAGGGGGGCACAGATGGTGATCTATCAAAAATGACTCACAGTATGAGCGGATGGATGGCTTATTGGTGTTGTCCTTCTGTTTGGACAACTTAGTTAAACCTAAATTAGTGGACCAGGTTTGCAGGAAAAAAAATATTATATCACAATAGTCTTTATATACAATGCCTTTAAGTCTTAAAGGAAGTCCACAGATGTTAGCGGTCAACGTTCATTCTGCGCAGTTTGGCGGGCAGGTTGTCCTCCGGCCGACCCCCTGCCATGGAGATCTGGACTGGTGTTGGAGCAGAGATGGTGCTAATGGCTACGTGTCTGTGTTTCTCCAGCTCAGCCTCCTCTGCGTTTCCATCCAAGGACAACAGCTGTACCTGCTCCTCCAGCTGTGCTTGCCTTGCGACCGGGATGGAGCTGGACCGCAGCCTCTGAATACTGAGCGGCAGGTCTCCCGTGCTGGAGGCCTTCCCCCCCGGCAAGGCTGCCCCTGTCTTCAACCCCCTCCAGAAGGTTTCTTCCTTTGTGGAGCTCATGCGCTGCAGTTTGCTGGGCAGCCTCGTGGCTTGGTCCTCTACGTGATCTGCATAGTCGGCTGACAGAAGCCTTTCCCTGCGGCCTCCGCGGGCACCGTTACCCAGCGGAGGAGAGCAGGGGGTGGGTGCGACGGCCAGAGGGTTGGGTGACGTCAGCGACGACTTCTCCTCCTGCTCTTTGACGCTATAGGGAGGTGTAGGAACCTCAAAGGTGTTGTGGAACTGGGAGTAGTCGACTCTGAAGAAGCCCTCCTCCAGTGACATCACGGGGAGGAAGCGATGACCCCACAAGACTTCATCCTCAGTGTAAGATGTCCTCGCCTGGCATGTCATACCTATGATGGAGAGAAGAACATTAGCGGAAAGGAACGTTTGAAATACAGACAAGAAAATGACAAAAAGGAGACATTATGAACAAAGACTGTAGAGAGAGGGCTATTAAATAAAAATGGACTGACAGCCAGACAGGGAGTAGAAATGAAAAGTCTTAAATGCCTCTCAGGGAAAAGAGAGGCAGAAATGTGAAGGGGGAAATGGCAGACACAGAGAAGAGCTTGTGCTCTTTAATATTTAAACACTGAAACACAATGAAATTAAATATTTTATATTACTTATTTTATGTGACTGAAAAATGATCTATGCCACAGGCTGTTTTATATGCAGAGATATTATAATTTGCTCTAACCAGTGGTTTCCACGATGCCTTCGAGGATGACAACAATCTCAAACTGCTCGTTCATGAGGGAGCGCTGCGACAGATCGAAGAATGGGCTCTTGGTGTTGATCTCGTGGCAGATGGTAAGTGGCGACACCAGGAAGAGCTGGTCCGCCCCCGTCCCAAAACCCACGTCAAGCTCACACTGGTCCAACGGCAGGAACTCGCCCTCTGGGGTCTGACGGGACTGGAAACACATAAACAACATATTATATTCACAACTTGACTCATGAGCAATTAACCCAGGATAGTTCTCAATATGGTTTCCTCCACACTGGGTTTGGAGGACGCAGGGTTATAGAAGCGTATAATGACAATTATTTGAATCTTTCGAGCAAATAAATACCATCAGAGTACTAAAATAATTATAGCTCTGAAATGTTGTTTAAACTCAAACAGCTTTGAGAAGGGTGGGAAACTGCTCGATTTGGATTTTAAAAATAAACTGATCATAGGATATAAAGATGGACGACATGACGGCTCCCCAACATGGCTGCAGAATAAGTGATAAATCCTACCTCCTCCATGTTATCAGATAGGACATGGACTCTGAAGATGGTTTCTGTCACTTAAGGTTGTTCTCATCACGCTGATGTTCAACTTTTAATTTTTCCGTAAAGTTTAGTTTCAATAGGTTATTTGATGCTGGGTGAGAAGTCATGATTGACAGCTGAGACTGACTCACGATTGGTTGAGTTTTGCGTTGACAGGAACTCGCTACCAGGGCTCCGCCCCCTGATTGCTACTGCACAGACTCTGGCTCCAAGATAGCGACATTTGTATTTGGGACATTTTTGTTTAAATTCTGGATAGTGGGAGGAAGAAACGTGTTGTTTATCTTTATATACAATTGGTGGCACAGACTGGGAGACAGACATGCTGGGTAAGATAAGGGCGTTCTCCCACCTCCCCCACATTTGTCTGACAGTACAAGCATTGGTAACATGTATAATTTTTGGCACCTCTGTGCAATCATTTGCTCTGTACACACCCTCTCATTGCCCGAACATTAAAGTACTTACAAAGTCTGTAGGAGCCTGCGCCTCGGAAACAAGTATCATTAGATTATGGAGAGGATACTGGTGCTCGCTCTAGAGAGACCAAGTGGAGAAAAGAACCACTTTAATCAAATAAAGTAGCTGTTAAATTAAAAGATGGAATTAGGGAGGGAGCTCAAGGAAGTGGAAAGGGGAAATTTAGAGCTTATAAAACCTCTTGTCCTGTCAAACGCAAGCCTCTTACTGCAGCTGATATGTCAAGAATGATTTACAAAGGAACATGTGTTTGTTTCACCCAGAAGGCAGAAATCCATAAAATGCCCACTATCAATACAAGTGACTAAAAAGCAAACAGTCGGAAGAAATAAATTAAATCCTTTTGTCCCAGTAACATTTTTATATTCCTCTATGGCTCAAATCAAATAGTTCCCCCTGTCACATCATGTTAACTTGTGTGCAGACTAATCTCCCCGGCCCTTGAGTGAGGAGCCGCTCGGCCCACACAGATGGCAAACAGACTGTCATTTGGATTCACAGTGACGTTGAGGACAGAAGGGTGTGACATTTCACGGGAAGACGTCTGTGCCCACAGATCCCTGGCGCGCCTAGTTTGAGGGAAAAGTGTCACTCAGGATGCAGCAACACTGACGGGTGAGACCCATTCAAATTTGAAGACAACAGCCTGCGTTGCATGTGGCGCCACAACCTGCCATAACTTTATTGTTTTTTTATTGTTATTACTCAAAATTCACAGGTGAAATATCTGTATTATGATTTTCTAATTGATAAGGTGTGTGTATTATGTACATATCTATGTATTTTTACACTCTAATAACTTTAATTTAATGTGATTGCCTATTTTTCTTCAATGTTATACTCTAACTTGTTCTCTTGTCTACATTGTTTTGACTATAAGCTGCTGTAGCAAGTGAATTTCCCCAGCATCAATAAATCTTATCTTACCTTATCTTTTTATATCTTATCTCAAATATCTCTTTCAAATGTCCAAATCAGCTTCTTGTCCCCCTCCTGCAGCACCGTTATGACAAAGGTTAAAAACAGCAGAAATCCATGATTTTGTCATATTTAAGTTTCAGGTGTTTAAAATAGATTTTTCCATATTACAGATGAACGTCAGGAAACCCTTCCCCCCTTTCTTCTATAAGTAGGATGAGTAAAATGAAATCAATTTTTAAAAGCCTGTCAGGTCTTTGTATTAATTAATTTATTTCACTGAATCGTTTTAAAAATTTAAATTGTCATTAAGATGCATGTGGGGCAGTTGGTCCCATTCGTCAGCCACGCTCCTACATGCCAATGAGAATGGAAACCAATTTCTTGAGTCATATTTAATCCACTCAGGTTTTAAAAAGACATAAAAGCTGCTTGTTTTCCAAATGCACGGCTTCACTGATAGTGATGCAACAAAATAACACTGGTGCAAAACGAAGAAGGAAGCTGCTTGACACTGAACGGCTTTAACAAGTTGAAAGCCTTGTGTCTCTTCTCCTTCTGCCCCTAAACACTCAGTGCCACGAGGGGGAAATTAATGGCTTCTGGAACAGGACCTGGTGTGGAGAGAGTGCTTAATTTACCAAGCCACCTGAGATTCAGGTTGAGTGAAAGCAGGGACTGTCCCTGGTGACTCACTTCCTCCCCAGTTCAGTGTGTGTGTGTGAGAAAGAAGCAAAGAAACAAACAGTGACAGCGGAAGTTACAAGTGCGTCGTTGTGTGTTTTGTCTTTAATGCAACTGTGTGTGTGCATGTGTGTGACCTGCTGGAGCCTTCGAACTTTAAACTGGACATCAAACATAATGGAGTCACAGATGTCACATTTCAGCTCCTATTCCCAATCCTCCTTCTTCTCTTCTCTCTGTTTGTCCTTCAGAATCAGACGACGGCAGATGTGGCGAGTCATGATGACATGTCTGCTTTCCTGTCTTGCTAAACGCCTGCATCCATGCCTGTCTGTCTGCGACTACCACTCGTCCGTATCATTTATCTCCCGCTGTGGACCAACCTGCTGCGACGAGCTTCTGTTGAGCAACCGCCCAGCTGTCACTCGGTTTCTCCGTCTTTGGGTTTCGGCTCAGTTTAACCACACTGCTGCTGCTAACTTCCCCTCGTGTCTTTAACTCGTCTTTTCTAGTGAGAACGAGGATGTTTCCTCCGTTTGCTGCAGCCAAACCAGACGTTTGTTTCTCTATACTAAAATCATATTCTGCCAGCGGTGCAGGGGTCAGTGAGCCCCTGCATTCTAATGGTTTATTAATGAAAGGTGCATTAATATTTATGGAAATTCAAGGTTATCTTTTAAGTTAATATGCAATAGTGATGGAGAAAACACAACCAAACTGACACAACTGCAGTCTAACTGCACTGAATTGAAATCATGCTCTTTTAACAGTGGGCACATCTTAATCAGTTTTAACCAAAAACATCCGAGCAGGTTTCATTTACTGCTCTTGTACTCCAGGAAGCCTTACTTGAGGGTGTGTGGGTCATAAAATTGAAATAAAAAAACATTTTGTCCATCACTTGTCCTCAAGTTAGAGTTGAGAGGAACAAGCTGTGATTGAAAATATCTATGGAAAAAGAAAAACTGAAGGTATAAGCTCTGGTGCACAAATAAAGCTGCTGCTCCCTTTGTGCATTTTTTGTGTACAACAAAAAATAATTAAATTCTGCTTATGTCTGAGATGTGTACTGCCATCGGTGGAATGCTGAAGATGACACTTGAGGGGAACTGACAACAAAACCGCAGCTTTAATCGATTCACTTCTGGGTCAGTTTTGGATTAATGCAGCAGCTGAAATCCAATTCACTGTATTGAAGTGTATTACGATGTTGCAGTGTCTCGATATTAAGTAACCGTGAGGATGAGACGTGAGAACTTGCTGAGCCAGCACACATTGATGTAAATATACATACATGTTTATATGTAAACACAGGGGGTATGCACAGCTGTGTAGTTGCTGGAAGGCGATACTGTAAATGTATTGCAAGGTTTCATAAAATAGTCATTTTGGAAAATACGAAGATAATACGCTCGTCCACTAACAAGGGGGTTAGTGAGTGGATCCCAGGCTCCTCTACTCTGCATGCCACAGTGTCCTTGGGCAAGACACTGAACCCCACATTGCCCCTGATGGCTGAGGAGTGGTGAGCGACATAAAGCACTGAATGTAGTTAGTTAATGGAGCGCTGTGTGAATGGGTGAATGTGGCTTGTATAGTCTGAGTGGTTGATAAGACCATATATAAATACATTTAGCATTTACTAATGATGCTAGTCCATGGAAACAATGGTCTTTTATCACCGTCTCCTATGATTGAAAATAACATATTTTTCAAAAAGAATAAAAACAATTGCTATACGATCCTTATTTAAATTGCTTATAACACAACATAGCATCTATTCAATGCAGTAGCTGCGTTCCTTTTTGATCATATTATAAATGTAATTATTTTAAATTCTGACCAACTCAACAGTATCCAGGCCCCGTAAGAATTTACAACCCACTTTTATCCCGAGTATCCCTGACAATTGATAGCAGGTCCCATGCCATTGTGCATTTACACAGCTCCATCACAGGATTTACTGCAGCATGCCTCATTTCTCCAGTCAGCTTGTGGCCTACCCATCTGACAGTGACCTTGAGCTGTGCGTTCCCTGGACACAAGCCACGGCTTTGTTTCAGAGAGAAGGTACAGTACTAGGTGATGGTGTATAGTCAATTTACGCTGCAATTCCCCACAGCACAGTGTGACACCTCAGTGGCATAGTTTATAGGCTCTAAAACCTCACTCTAATATTCATCAGAAGACACTGCGCCTCTTCAGCAGTGGTGTCCTGCTGTAACTCCAGCAATGACAAGTCTCCATCACTGTTTCAAGACTGTTTTCTGCCACAAACATCAGGAGCAACACTGGATACGAGTGAACGAAAGTGAAGTGAAAGTTTTGCTTGTTTACTGTCCGTCCTCTGTGGATGATTGATGGTCTTTGAATGTGTTGCTCTTTAGCAGCCAATTAGGAAAGTCATAGATGTCCGACTTTCCACCAACACGTGGATAGCTGTGGCTTTATATCTAATTTAACGATTATTAGAAGGATTATTATTTACTGGCAGAAACCCCAGATCAGGATCATCACGTAAATCTAATCATCTGATCTCTGGAGGAACGCCAAGAACTGCTAAACTAAAAAATAACAAAAACAGATGGGTTGGAGCACTTCACACAACAAATATCCTGTTGTATGTCCAGCAGTAATTGTGTTACACGCGGGATGGTTTTTAATGTAGTGTAGCCATAAGGTTCTGCAGCATTTGTTGCAACACGTTCTGTTTGAATCTTGGCAATCAAAACTAATTAGGGGCAGATTTCAGCTCAAAGTAGCTGTGATGTGTAACTCTGAGCATAAATAACATGATCAGAGAGAAATCATTTTAAAAAATAGATCTGAATGTGCCATAGAAAATATGAAATATCAGTGATATCTGCAAATCTGACAGTCAGACGTGGCAGTGAGCCCCATGTGTGGACGTCCAGCTGCTTTCATTCTTTTTGAATTAATAGGATGACAGCAGAAGTCACAAAAACTATAGCAGAATATGACATTGCCTGATTGAAACTATTATCCTGTATGAAGCTGGTGATATTGCATTGGTGCCTTGCAATTAGCTCACCACATTTTCCTTTTCACCTCTCTGGGCTATTAATTGAAAAGCAAATGATGCTGATGAAATGGAATAAAAATCGTCCCAGAGCGAAATAAAACACTAACAATAAAGCCTTATTTAATCGTGGCTTTTAATGCGGTCAACTGAGGGGCTTTTATTCTTAATATATAATGTAATAAGACAGAAGGTGATTCTTTAAAAGATGCTGTGTGGATAGAATCAGCACATTCAGTGTGAACTGCACTAACAGTGATACTCACTTACTGGGAGCTTCCTGGTGACTCTCCCTTGAGCTTCAAGGAGTGAACTGTCACTTGAGATCATCACGCTACTTCTCGGAGACGACAAAAGCTCGACTAACTCTTCTTGTCACAACAGAGGACCACTGGCCTTCGTGTATTCACCGGTGTTTGGACCGGTGTTTGGACCAGACAGAGCTGGATTTCATGAACAACAGACGTCTGCTACAGAAATACAATGTAATGCAGGGCCTCAGATTTAGTGGTATTTTTGTCTTTAGGTGAGTCTTCACCTCATGGTGGCCCACTTAGTATTGGAATGGGTTCAATACATCTATATGTTTATCTACTCAGTGTGCAGAGTTTCCCTGGGCTCACTGTCCCCCAGGGGCCCATTCATCTGTTTTGCAGACAGTCAAGGCTGAACTTAGGTATACAGCCCAGTGACTGTTCATTTAAAAACCCAACAATAATAAAGAATAATCTGCTGCAGGAGGGGTAAATGTAAATGGTCACTCGTTAAAAAACGTTGGAGCCTGCATAGTGTTCAAACCATAACCTCATGTGCAAATCATAGAAGAACCCTGAGGGAGTGCAATCAATTCTGGAGATGAATTGAAATTCAATGCATGACTTGGAAAGCACTCTTAAAACATAATGAGCAATTTCAGGACAGATTAAATGACTGTCAATTAGACGGTGACAGGGACGATGGCGTTTCAGGAGTTGGAGCGAGAGACGGATGCTCACTGCGCCAAAGTGTGCCCACTTGTTCTGTGCGTCTTTTGGAGACATTGCGCTCCTCCGCTCAGTGAATTCATGACCTGTAGCCTACCTTGATGAGTTTGCACCTGATCTGCGCGGACACCATGTGGCTGTTCCGCAGGTTCCCCACTCGGAACATGAGGCACAACTTCCCGTCCCGCTGCGAAATCACCGCGTCCTGGCTGAACATCAGCGTCTCGGCGCGCTTCTTCGGCTGCGACATCTTGATGAACATGCAGCCGATGAGGAAGGCGTCCACGATGGAGCCCAGCAGCGACTGGAAGAGGAAGAGGATGATCCCCTCCGGACACTTCTCCGTGATGTAGCGGTGGCCGTAGCCGATGGTCGCCTCCGTCTCGATGAAGAAGAGGAACGCGGAGGGAAAGTTGTACACGTTGGCGACGCACGGCATGTAGGAGTCGCTGTGGCCGCCGTGGCTCAGGTCGCCGCGGATGTAGGCGATCACCCACCACATGGAAGCCATGACGAGCCACGCCACCGTGTAGGTGAGGATGAAGATGAGCAGGTTCCAGCGCCACTTGAGATCCACCAGCGTGGTGAAGAGGTCGGAGATGTACCGGCTGGTCTCCCCGCCAAGGTTACCGTGCTGGACGTTGCAGCGGCCGTTCTTCTCCACAAACCGCTGCCTCTTCCTCTTCACCGGGGCGGAGAAACTCATACCTTGGTTCGTGTTCACCACCTGGTAGTCCTCCCCAAATTTCCTCCGTATGGCCGACATGGTTCGAGTCCCCTTGTTGGTGACAGCTGGTCGCTACTTGAGCAGAATCGGGCTCTTTACGCAACTTTGGTTCCCTCCTGCACAAACACCATGCGACAACATTCAGCGCGCGTCCTGCATCCAGTGAGGTGGAGACGCGCTCCTCTCCTGTAAATTCACCGTAAGTGAGCAGAGATTCTGCGCAATGGGCATGATTCAGAGTCACACTCGGCTCCTCGCTGGTGCCAACTTTTGCGCTCAGCAAGGAAAAAAAAGAAAAACACAGTGAAACAAAAGCTGTATTCACATTCAGAAGGCTGAGTCCTTGGTGGATCCACTGAGGTGCTGCTGTTCAATGAGCCGCTGGATGTGAACAGCAGTCTGCGGTGCGCACTTGTGCCAGAGGGAACATGCTCTGGTGGGAGTGACTTCAAATTAAAGACTGTGGAGGAACTGCAGCACGGGTGGCACATCTCTCTTTCACAGGGGCGGATGAGTGGCTGCAGTTTTTATTTTATTATTTTTGTTGCCTTCGCCCAATCCGGTAAAAGCATCAATCCGAGTAAACTATGTGATGGTGATATAAACCGGAAACCATCTTTTATTTTTTTTATTTTTTACATTGCTTTGAAATGTGTTTCCTGTGACTCTATTATTTCCATCTTGAGAAAAACACTGTCCCATAAAAAAAATGTTTTATTCTAAGTACACTACTTGTAGTGATTGGTGGCGTTTTAGTTCCCCCTGGTGGTACTGCAGTGGAAGTAAACTTGAGGTGGTGCCAAGAAGTTTAATTTAGTTTAGTTGATCCTCATTAGAAACACATGCCTGTAAAGAGTAAATAAATATACAAAGTGAAGACTCAAACATTAACATTAACATTTTAAATCTAAACAGGCTGGATGAAGTGGGAGCAGAAAACTAAACAAAGGAACACACACAAAAAAACCCAAGATATTAAAGTAACAAACCAGGAATAAAGGTAATAGTGAATAACAGTACATGCAGGAGAATCCTATTGTTTTTCTTAGTCAGTTTATTAAAACTTATAAAAGTGAATATGATGTCATTAGGCAGAGAGTACAACTGACCTGTATACGACGTTGAGTTTGCAGAAGTTGGTTCCCGGCAGCCGCTTGCATGATACGACCAGAGGCTGCACCTCTTGTGCTGTAACCATGCTCAGAGGCCGCATGTATCTGGTGAGCTATAGTGGTCGGGTTGTTTGTGCTCATCACACTCTGAAGTAGCATTAAAGGCACAAAGTCATGTTTTGTACTTTCAGATCAAACTGTAATTTAGTCAGAAATACTGTGATTCCACTTACACACACACAGAACAATATCCTGTATATTATCCAGATACAATGAAATGCACCAAAAATATAAGCTAATGCAAACATATCAGCTAATCTGTCACATTGAACTGTTGAACTAACACTTTATTGCATTAAAGTTCCCTAAATCAAACCATTAACTCATGAAATCTCAATATCCCTCCGTTATTAAACAGATACCTGGAAATCCAGCTGAAGCTGAAAACCGTGTTTTTTTTATCCAGTTCATGATTCAAGATGTGTTGTGATGGTTTTTGTTGTTTGACTCTGTGCCCAGAAAACAAAGTTAAACTGAAGTGCCATAAAAACTAAAAACCCAGACACTGTTTTATCTTCTCCGAATACATGTTTTATATTAAATATCAAATGAAAAATGCATCAGTAGCAGAAGCAAAGCTTTCACAAGTCATTATGAGAACAAAATATACTCAACTACAAATGTGGTGCCTCGACATTATATAAGAGGAGGACACTCTTATCAGATGAATGCATCACACACCGTCAGAACCTTTTCTACTCAGTCTAAATAATAATAGCAATTATCTCTGCAATAATAACAGACAGAAGGTCTGTACTTCATACAGGCTGTTTTTATATACTAAGAATCATAGAGGACAATATAAAGTATTTGACACAGACCCTCAGCAACATTATACTTTAATTGTATACAGAATTTCTATTTTTATAGTTAATACATTTTCCTTTGCGCAGCTACTTTCCTTTTGCTGCTGTGTTGATTGTAAAGTTCCTCTATAGAGAAACTTTAAAGGTACATCTTATCTCATCATATCTTTTATAATCTTTGCACAATGTGCATCCATTAGTAAAGGAAGTAAATCTAATTATACCTGAAAAAAGTACTTACTATCACTACTACTGCTATTTTACTATTTATACACTATTCCTACTTAAGTAAGTTTTATAGTTATATATATAAATATATATATATTTGTTGGAATTGCACTTTTGTGTTGTGTTTCATGACAAATTTAACAATTAATTACAAAAGTGCAAGCGTAGTTTTGGGGTATGTTTCCTAGTTTGCCTGACTATAAGCCAGCCTTGATTAAATTTGTTCAAGTGAGTCATCAAGATAAAACTTATGAACAGTAAACACAATCGTACACCAACAAATAGATTTACTCTACATTTTGACATAGTGGCCCAACGGAGGGTAAGTAAGGATACACAATATTCTTAATCAGATAAGGATAAATAAGAACACAGGCCCTGCAAAATTCTTTAAAAAAAATGTACAATTGAATTTAAAAAAATCTGTTTGCAGCCTCTTTGAAAATTGGCATTAAAGTCTAAAAAAATCCATGCTTTATTGTGGGAACTGATTATGTGGAGAGCAATAAACGGAATGGTCGCTTTGCACTGGATTGCAGGAGGTGGGTAATAAAGTGAAACGTGAACAAAATACACTATCATGCAGTTCTGTGGGGGAAATACGACGGTTTCAATGGTGCATTATATCACATGGATGTTTGTTGTGTGTCTCTGTGTGTGTGTGTCTCTGTGTCTGTGTGTGTGTGTGTTTTCACCGTCCAGTGACCCTCTCTCTCTCTCTCTCTCTCTCTCTCCCTCCCTCCCTCCCTCTCTCTCTCTCAAACCTCTGCAGCCTTCGCCTGTCTCCTCTCACGACCCGTCCTCTGCACCCACAATTCCCCGCGCCGGGACAAGATGGAAGAAAGCTGCGGCCGCCGGAGAACAATGTTTTGGCAATAAAACCCCGAAGCGGCGAACACGGAGACGACGCGGCCACGTTTGAACCCCACTGCGGTCATGTGTAGGTGAGCGGGGACCCGAGGGGACTTTTTTATTCGGGACGGGTGCGGGCTCTTTGTCGAGATTTTACGGCGACGGAGGCGTCTGGCTCGGGGGAGACGCAGCCGGAGCCAGCATCATTGTTTCTGTTGCATGGGCCGTAATGCGGGTTTTCGGTCGGGGCAGCTAGCGGCTAACTTGCTAACTAGCTAGCTAGCTCGTGGCAGCGCGATTGTTATAAACACAGCCGCCTTCGACGCGCACCCTTTAATTCAGCTCGGACCCCGGATACTGAGTCGACATGGGTTGTGATCGCCGGGGAGTGTGTCGCTAGTCCCCGGCCTGCTGGTGAGCATTACCCGGGTGTAATAGCAGCTAAAGTTAGCTATCAATAAATAGAGCGCCAGCGTCGCTCGCAGACAGATTTGATTTCACGAGCGTCATCAAAGCTCTGGAACCGGAGAACGAGCGCTTCACGCCGCTGACCCGACTCCAAGCACACCGCGTGTTTTCTCTTTCGGCTCCTCCGCTTCCGTTCTTCTCTTCTATTGCTGTTTTATCTGTTTTCCCGGGGACCCCGGTCCGCAGCAGCGCCGTTTTAAAATCGCCACGATACGGCATCAAATCGTGGATGTGCGTTAGCTAGCCCGATAGCAACACTGGGTAGCAGGCTAACCGCTGCGTTACATTGATCATAACGGATGAAATTAGACTTTTATTACTACAAATGCGACTTATTTCACACCCCGTGACTTAAAGTTTCGCCCTGCGTTTATTCAAAACGAGAGGTTTTGGTTTTCGGGACGCTTTAATCGCTTGTTTTGATTGAGGACGCGAGGGTCTCGTTGATTGTGTCGCATTGTGGCTAGGCGGCTAGCTAACCATGCTAACTGTTATGCATCACAAAAGCTCCTCCGCTTTCTGCTGGATTCGGTGTCTCGCAGCCAAATGGTCGGCAGCTCCAGACTAAACAATAAATTCCCCCTCGTTCGTTCCTCCATGCTCGTCATGCTCGTCGGCCACAACACCGACCGAGATCCCAGAAACCTCTCGCTGGATTTGACCTAAATATCGTTTGTTTTAGGCGACGTGTAGTGAACCGATTCATTTGCCAATATTCGAGCTAATGCCCCCAGTTATCGCCTCCACGCTGGGGTTGATCAGCCGGAGAGAGACCGTGGTGTTGTTCGGCAGGAATCAATAGTGCTCAAACGAAAAAGGAAATCTGGAAAAGTAAATCAAGCTAGAGCACTTATTTTTTATTATGGCTGCAATCCAAGTCACACATGTGGAACAGGAGAACAATGTGATATTTCGATTAAGTATCACAGACGCAGTTTGGAACAGGTTTTTTGTTGTGTGGGTTTTCAGTTCAGAGATCCATTTTTTTAAATTATGTAGTCACTCAATTAAAGCCTATAACACTGATCAGTAGATTTATTGTGACTTTCCTTTTATTAATCAGATATTCTAGGGATGTTACAGATACAAATATTAGCATTTTCACTTTGAAGCATTGGTGACTGATCTTGGAATAGAATAGAATTCCATGAATCTGCAAAAATTCTTTGGTGATATAAAGGCTTGGGAAGAATAGTGATCAACTTGAAAAATGTATGATAAGAGGTTCCGTATCCTCATACTTAAATCAAAAAAATAAATATCTTATTTTCACTCGTCATTGTTGTAATACGCAATAACTGCAGCACTTTATTTCAGTTTAGAGTTTTCTCCTGACATTATATTGCGTATATATTTTGTTTAAAAAAAACGTAAAAAGGTTCCCAGTTACCTAACTTCTAGTGCTAGTGTTAGGTAAAGCCTAATAAATCCAATAAAGTAATTAATGGTGGTGCACACGGAACACTGAGGGCTGCGTAGCAGTGATAAAACTTAACAGAAGAGATGTTATACTGAACACAACATTTGAAAGTTACTTTGGATTGTATTCATCAATGTAATCATCAATACTTAATGTGACCTTTTTATACCCTCTCTTTCAGGATATTCTCCTCCTGCATTCCTCTTTAGACACATTGCCCTCCTTCTCCCCTGCACAAAGCAAAAGCACGATCATGAGTATAATCCAAGACAAATTAGCCAATGAGTTTTTGCGTAACGGTGGCATGGACCCAAATTTTGCACCAGGTATGCTTATGTTCAGCCACCTGCCACCGGTCACCAGCTTTACGCGCCTGGCCTCCCAGTCCGTCATGGGCGAGCTTTCCCAGGAGATGATCCTGAAGAAAGAACGTGACTCGCCTCCAGAACACCAGGGCGCCAATGCTGTAAACACCGGGGGCTTCCTCCACAGCATGGGCATTAAGCAGGAGAGGCTAAATGAGCTGGATTACCGCATGCCCCTCTATGGCGGGGGTGGAGGAGTGGGGATGAACTGTGTCGGAGGGGGCGCGGGGAAGAGTGGCACTGACATGCAGGACATGTCATTCGGCAACCACCACCAAAATCACCAGAACATGCTCCTGCATGACCTCAGTCTCAGCAATGTTCGTAGCCTGGCTGAACCGGTGAGAAGACGTCATTTTTTTCCATAATGTTTCCAATCATACTGCATTATTCCTGCTTGGTTTCCCTCTTATGCATTAGAAATTATAATGTACAGATTTTGTTTTTATAGACTTTTGTGCACTTTTAGCGGAGCCCCTATCTGCCTTCTACAGTATGTTGTATACTTACTCTATTATTTGTCCTTAGATTCCTGGAAGACCGGGTAAAGAGCCAAAAGAGTCCTCGGGTAGAAGAGGGCGGA